ACTAGCTCCTAGAGGAGGTCTCAGAGTATAAATATAAGGAAAGTACGCCTCCTTCTCGGGATTAGGACAGCAATATAGTAGTCTAATACTGGATGAAGGGTACTCGAGAGCGCAAGTGTAGCAAATAAACGTGGTTGTATCCATTGTAGGTGCTTGCCGCTTGCGAAGCGTATAATTTCTCTCACTGTGCGGTACTCCCTGCCGCGTATAAGCTTTCCATTGTAATAAAGATGATTCTGGCACGCTGAACAGGCCTAAGGAAAGAAAAAAACCCAAATGTAAATATCAAAAATCGTTATGCAAGAGTTTTAGAAGAATAATTGGCAAATACGTGAGAAGAAAAAAAGATACCTGCACTCGACCGGCACTATCCATTGGTCGACTTCTGCTCGGCCTGGGATGAAGCATCAGTGATGGAAAGAATGGCGGAGGAGTGGAAGGAGAAGGGTGCGGCGGATTTGGCAGTGGCTTCGCAGCGATGTGACTAAGAGATCCTCTCTTGAATTCGTCCCCGCCACACATAACAGACTTCAGTGACAGAGTTCTTGTCCGGCATCGATAAATCTAGTATGTCTGTACCGACACTGGACGACGATCCGCCGCTGTAGATAGCTGGAATTGCAACGTCAGACAATCGGTTATGACGATCGCTCATTGTCGATGAGCGCTCTATGATACGCGTCGTGTCGCGTCGTATAAAATCCGTGAATGCGCAATGCAACTGGCCATCCTAGTTGTCCGGATAATCTCACACACGCCTTCGACATTATCATTATTGCGCTGCACGTGGCCCACTTAAAGCCAGCATTTTTCGCGAGTTTATCGCCGCGATATATCCGCGAATACGGACAAATGGAGTTAGTTAGTTTCGACGACGAATACAGTATTTCAATAGCTCCATTCCAAAGCACGACCCGCTTATCTGTCGGGGCATACGCTGACTAATGAATATCAGATCGGGCGGATCGAAATTGTTGAGGTCACCAAAGCTCAATATTCCGCGAGTGCGCGGAGCGCGGGAGGAAAATCGCCAATCGCCTGGAATCGGCACTCTGATCGGACGTGCGCGTTAAATGAATCGGGCTGACTCTTTGCCGCTCTTTGCCACTCTTTGACTCCGACATATTTCTTATCTACACAAAACTGTTTTAACCTTTACTTTCAAACGTTTGCGTTGGTGCACGAAAGGACTAAGGCCAGCGTAAATAGCGACCCGATTCGTGTATTTACCCGCGTATACATTCTAAACCGAGATAACGCATAATAGCGGTGAAAAACAGTTTTGTACTCCTATCAGATAGCGCTTGGTGATTTCATGTCCAAGTTATTTTGCCGAGTGTACACTTTGGACATCAAGTACCAAGTGTATTAAAATTCTTCAATACATTTTTTTTTTCATTTCCTATGCTATATAATATATACATGATATATGATATTTTAGATCTCTCTCTGTGTGTGTGTGTGTGTGTGTGTGTATTTATGTGTTTACATTATTACTGATAATCATATAGTATTCTATAAATTTTAATTTTTTGACCGATGAGAATCTGTAAATCTTATTTCAAAATTTATAATAATATTATATATTTAATATTAAAATATATCGGAAATATTAAAAATGTCATGCAAGTTTTACTAATCAATATATAATAATAAAAAAATAAATAAATAGGTTCACATATTTTTATAATTTACATATATTTAATCAATATGCCAATATACAGTAAAAAATGAAAAAATAAATAAATAGATGCACACAAATAGTTTCATATTCAATTTCTATATTTCTATTACATTTAAAAATAAAAATATTTCGCGCGATAGATCAATTCTATAATAAAATTTATCATTCCATCGACATTCTTTGTTCCTCTCAATTAAAATCAAGACCAACTGATTTGACTTCTCAGATTAAAGATCCAATTAGAAAATTAAAAAAGTTCTAATGTCTCTCTGCTCACTCGTCTTCTGCTTTATGTATATATAATTTTTAATCATTGCATTTAATACTTATTGATGCAACAATATTATTATCCGTGAATAACTCCTAAAAACATCAAATAATAATTTATTTTAAAAAATATTAAAAAAAAAATAAACAATACGGTAAAAAAAAATATAAAATTTGATATTTGCAATCTCTTTCTGAGCTTGAAATTGTGAAATAGTGTGTGAAATTGATAGCAAAATGAATTAAGAACCTGTAGGTTGTGGCGGTAAGGTGGATTGTGGCGCAGGTGAACTTCTAGGTGCATGTCTGAGATCCAACGCCGCCTCGTTGGATATTCTAGCGTCCTCGACAGATTGTCGGGGACTCTGCAACCTTTGATGAGGTGACTGCAACCTGTGATGAGGAGATTCCATCGTGAGCCTCGTTTGTTCCGTAGTGTTAGAATGCGGCCTTGGTAGCTCGACTGAATTCGACGGTGGTCTGGTTTGTTCGACTCTCGGCGAAGGTGAATTCGGCGGTAATCGCGGTGAGATCCCAGCCGGTCGGTTTTCCTGTCTGAGCTGCGGCGCCTGATCGTTGGTCAAGCCCAAGACCTGGGCGGCGTACTCACCCTGAAGTGCCATCTCGGCACCCGTGAACGAGCCACCGTCGCATCTCTTCAACCAATAAATCCGCTGACTGTGCGGCCTAGCCTCTCGCTCGTAACTTTCCCACTGTTGCAACAACAGAATATAACAGAGATTGCAAGCTTTGACAGCACCGCTTCTGGCACCTTCGCCACGATAGCCACTCGGTGGTTCATGCGACTCGAGAAACGGAAAGTAGGGCTCGTTGGGTGCACCGCCCGGGCTTGGTTTTACTCGTAACCAGTGTTGCTCGCTGTGGCCCACGGCGCCACAGACAAAGCAAATCCTCGCTCCCCCGCCGTCCTCGACGGGTGGATTGGCCTGCGGATTCGCGAGCGATTGCCCCTCAAGTCCCGGCTCATTCTTCACATATAATTTGCCCTCCATTATGTCAGGAAACCATTGGATCTCTTCTTAACGCCCTCTTATATCTTTGTGTTTGGCACGCATAAACGATCAGAAATCACAGTGGTCGATAGAGCTTCTATTTCTTATGCATATCTGAAAATATACAATGGATTCATGTTATAAATTGTTCAGTATATATAATATAATTCAGATGTAACGCACACATTCACTCATATCTATTTGTATTATTATTTACCGCATGATACAACCAAAAGAAATGACATACTCTTTTATATATTTGAGAAACTCAACTATATACAATTGCATCGAGCATATATTTTTCAAGTTGGTGGCAACGCAAATGTTATTGGAAAATAATCCTTTTAGGATACCTTATTGTATGCAAATAAAATTATTGGGTGCAGCTGTGGCCTCATTTCACAGTAGATGTGCAGAAATCGCTCGATATATAAATAAATAATAATAGCAAATTTACATAGAGAGCATTATCGCAGTATTTAAGAATCATAAAATATTCATTCTAGATATATTACAGTTTTTGAAAGCAATGATTCTTTGAAACTACTGCTTTGACTAGCAAATTATTCAACACAGTGTTGAATCAATTTTAATGCGACCAACAAAAATGTAACTTCATAAAGGAAAAACAAGTAGAAATATAGACTAAATCTTTTTAAATCTATTTCTTAAAACTACACATACAATTTTATCTATTGACAGTGCCACGATTCACTGGACAACCTCTAAATACATACAGATGCATTACTTGTATATATACTCGATAATAAATTATATGATAGTTCTATATTACAACTCTGTATTACACTAAAGACATTTGAAAATAAATTTTTCCATTGTCCACACACACACACACACACACACAGTGTTTTCGATGCCAGTTTGTTACAACATTATAAACACAAAGTCAGTGTCTGAAGCGTAAACAGCTGGTATAAACAGCTAGTCTCACAACTTGAAACAAATCAACAGATACAGTGAAAAGAAGCAGAGCATTGACATTTATTATCGAGAGAGTATCTATATAAATTGATGACAAGATCGCGAGGCGATGCATTTAGTCCACCGTATGGCATGCGGTATATTTTTGGAGCAATGCTAGGTCGAACGATTTACCGAGACCGACCAGAGATGAACTTTTCGGTACATCGGTAAGTAAGCGTGCTTGTTAAGGGGTCGCCGTTTAAGGAGTGTGTCATTCGGCTCTCTGACGATACGGGGGCGGGGAAAGAGGAGCGGAATGCGGGCGAAAGCACGTAGGCGAGCAGATTTTCCGGAGATGACGGCGATGACGGCGACGAATTGATCGGAGCGCGGAGGTTCGCTCGCCGCGCGACAATCGACGAAACAATCGGCGATCAACTGGCACTCGATGGACACAATGGTGGTGCGCTTCGCTTGCTCTTGCTCGCCCAGCGAGCGATCGACGATCGCGCCCGTTCGGCGTCCAAATTATTCGCGACGTGCCCGGAACCTCCCGGTCGTCCCGAGATTTCTCGGAAGAACGAGGAGTGGACGGGCGAGAGATGGCTAATCGTCGATCCCGGGCGATCTCGAGAGATCGCACGCACTCTCGCCGCTACCGAAATTACGCAGAGCCGATCGGCACACGCGCCACACAGAGAGAGAGAGAGAGAGAGAGAGAGAGAAAGAGAGAAAGAGAGTGAGAGAGAGAAAGAGAGTGAGAGTGAGAGAGAGAGAGAGTGAGAGAAAGATATGGACATTGTTTCCGCACACAACACTCACGTTCTCACAGTTCGGCAGAGCTGGCCACAACATCGCGTCGCTATTTGGTGGTGCTGTCCCGGCGGCTGCCGCGGCTCGCTAGGACAAAAGCGGAGCTCCCTTATCGCTCGCCCTAGTCCCTGCCATACGTGCTCGAGCAGCTCTCGCAGCGCACGGTACCGCGGGGTGTCACCTTCGTCGTCGCGCTGCCGGCCGTCCCACTCATATTTACACGCGCTACTGTCCGATATCGGCCCGTCCGACACCACCCGAACACGTATGTTTCACTCGTCGCGCCCCTGATTACCAATTAACGGCGGAATCGTTGCGGGCGACTAGGAAAAATACATTTTCCGATGGCACAGCACCCACGACTTCGCCCTCACTTCACCGCCATGTTGCAAAATCGCCGATCCGCCGTCCCGTCATGCCACGCACTTCGTCATATGACAGCGCCACCGCAAACAGCCAATCGGAGCGCGCGGCGCATGCGCGCCGATGCCTCCGCGGCGCCACAATCGCCGAATTGCCGCCAACGGCGAGCCAGCGCAGAGTTTGAAGTTGACTGCGGTTCCAACGTTTCCTTTTGCTGCGCGAATTATTTTCTTCTCGTTGTCTCCTCGTGGAAAAAGTCGCGTCTATTTTTACAGATTTGTGCATAGATTCGTTTTATCGCGTCTCCAATTCATTCTTCGCAACAACTTGTCGATGAGTTTAAGCAAGGGAAATGGGTAATGTTTTGCAATTTATTACAATTACACTATATACAGTGATTAATGTCCATTATTAATATAATATATGTTTATTGTATCAGTGCTTATATTTATATATTGATGATTGCATTGTTAAATATCCATGAATCGTCACGATTTATTTAGAAAAATTTATGTAAGAATAATGAATTATATAAAACTCGTGTTTATAATCTTTCAGAAAAAATGATAAGCGGTATAGTTTCGATTAAAAAATAATTGAATATATGTATTATTAATTGAATAGAATCTCTTTAATGATTAATACATATATGTATTAATAAATGAGAGATAGATAAAAAAGTGAAATGGAATAAAGATTTATAATTGTATTGCTTGTTACAAATTAAATCATTTTATTCATTGTTCTTATTTATCTACTTTATTTCTTTTTGATTGATAATTAATAACGCAAACTACAAAAAATTTATTAATTAATATTACGAGAAGTTTGAAACATTTAATTAAAATATATTGTCTAAACATAAATATATCTAATATCTAAATATATATTTTTAATTGTATGTATATATATATATATATATATATTTCAATTGTTAAACAAATTGTAATGTTAATTTTTATAATATAAAATTTCTCAATTTCTTAATGATATAACAATGAAAATAATAATAATTTTTTTTTTTTTTTTTTTTTTCAGAAACTAAAAGTGTCAACAGCAACATGAAACTGCCAGAGAAATTCCATTTACAGCTTATCTTTTTGTACAAGTAAGTGAGAAAAAATGTTTAATTTCAACTCGAAATCTCAATAGAGGGTTCGTTACACATTTATCACTACAATTACTTAAAAGTAGACAAAAATATATTGTTTAAAGAATAGAATTAGGTAGGATTGGATTTAAATAAAAATTCGCCATTCGATGTTTCACAGTATTTAATCAACAGGTTGGAACATTGTATTGAATGCTAAAATTTACGTCTCATAAGTTGTGATATTTTCATATATATGCGTACATTTCCGCTTTCTCCACTGGGTGGAATTCTGATATAATACTAAAAAATAATTGGAAATACTTTAAAAATACTCTTTGCAAATGATAACTTTTAGAAATACTCTCTCTTTCTCTCTCGGATCACTTTTGTCTCTACCATATAGATCTATTAGCTACAATATTTTAATTTTTTTACTCATATATTTTATACAGAGATTTAAAATCACAAGAAATTATTAATCATAATGTATAATAATAGTATTATTGTTGTCGTCATTATTAGTAATCTTACATCGACACACAATAGTGGTCAAAATTACTTTGTTTTTCATATTTGCGATTGCAGACCACTATTTTTTAAAGAATATAATTGTAATTATGCTCGTTTTTTACAACGATTATCGCACGATAGGTTTACAACAGTTTTACAACAGAGATATTTTATCTTGTTTGTGTGACAATAATAACTTATTGTAAGATTGCATTGAATTGCATTAAATACACGATTTAGGCTTCGATTTTATGCACGTGTTAATATAAAAAAAAGAAAAATAATAACAAAAAAAACAAAAAAAACAAATAAAGTAAAATAATTCACTCCAAACAATACTCTGATCTTGCAGATACAGTGTAGCCTCGCTATCGTATTAATATACTATGTCTAGAGCTGCTACAAAGTGTCTTATAATAAGATAGAATACTAAACCGGCATATTCGTGAATAAAACGACGGCTACACTGTGATTCAAGAAGAGTCTTTTACAAAGTATTAAACATAGGGGTATATAAATATACTATTATATCTTCTTATAAATAATTACAAACTAAATCTGCTTTGCATTGATGAATGACTATAACAATTTTTTCATTATTTTCTCATTTTTTTATATCATCTTTTTCTTTTTCTCTCTCTTTCTCATTCTTTCGTTCACTCTATACTTTCATCACACATACAAAGTTTACAGAATGCTATTGGTAAATGTTATAAATAATTTGTTCGAGGCTGACCATATTGCTAACATCAGATATTCTCAGCAAGAATAAAAAGAAAAGCCAATATTTCGCATTTTAGCTGCTTTCGCACAATTTAAATAAAGAGGCGAGCTATTTTTATGCAGGAATAGTCTGTCTTCGTATTTCCTCAGACATAAAATGCCGTTGACTTTTTATTCTGCGATTTATCTTGTAGCAACGCACAGACAATTAAGTCGTTTTGCTTTTATTATAAGTTACTGACGTACGCACATAGTATGTTAAATCAGATTTGACATTTGGTGAACTCATGACTTTTACTCACTTGACCCTATTGCTGTGGGTTATCTCGTTTCTTATGTACATATATAAACAGATATTATGGAAATAAAGTTTCCTCTTTGCATAAAATGCTTCAATTAAAAAAAGTAGGATACAATTCGCAGGAAATTCTCTTTAGGATAATAATTCTGTAATGATTAAGTGCTTTAGTTTCTACTTGTTCCACTATGATAAAAATAGATTCATAATACATATCTAAATGTAATGTTCGTATCGTGTTGTTTTTATCGTTACAATCTACATTAAAGTGATAATGTACTTAATGTTCTAAGTTCTTCGTATGTTGCACATACTAAATATCATAATTAATATACATATATCCACATGATTCCAATTTTCCTTTATCAAAACATTAGAAGTGATTTTATTGTAGCAGTTGTTTTGTGTAAACGATATCGCATAATGCGTAACGAAGTTGTTGTAGTGAAAAATATTCTGGGTCATTGATTCCGATAAAAGTTTTGACCCAAGCAACCTGCGAGTATTATCTAGATCAAAGGTAAAAGTACGATCAAATAAAACTATATCTATCTAAGAGGAACAAAGCATGGATCCTGAAATAACAAGAGGAAAGTATTGGTCCAATCATCAGTTAAAAATAAAAATTTACACAAAGTGCTTTCGGATTTTATATAATATATATATAGATCACACATTTCTTGATACTCATTGGCAGCATTGCTTTTGCAGATCGATGCTGCTAATAGCACTTTTCGGTCGCTCGAATAAAGGGACTGTTTTTAATATCATTACGAATGTCTAAATGATGATGTAATTCCATCATTCTTTCGTTGGATCTATCTACGATAGCCTCGTATCCCTTGTGTCTTTCAACACTGTCGTCTTCAATCACAGCTACCATCATTTTTCAAGTGCAGTATTTGCAGACTATTCGTTCTGTATTTCTTAATCATCAACAAGAGAGAGATCAGCTTAAAAACTTATTACTATATATTTCTTTGGCTAGAAAACCAAAAAAGAAAATTTTTCTTCAGCATTTTTACCACAAGGACGTTCTACAATTAAGAAAATTAAAAAATACGTGTGAAAGAAATTTTCGTAACAATTTGAAATTAGGAAATAATGACGTTGATAACGTATGGTTAACTATTTTGTTGTAATAATAAAATCATTTGCAAAAAAATAAATAAAACATTAGCAATTTTATGAGGGCGCACGGTGTATTGGTATTTTTTTATAAATTATATGGATAAATGAATTGCATATATTTGAAACAATCGCGTAAAATAAAGATTTCGACAAATCAAATTCGCGAAATCAATCGACCAAACATCAATGTCGAAATCCATACAGCACACAAGTTTGCAGCAATATGACAACAACATTGCAATATTGTACATTGCATAGCAATATTGCAGAAATATTATATAGGCATGAATTTGCAAAATAGTTTAAACAACGTTGCAGCAACATTTCAGAAATATTATGAAAATAAAATTAACGCAAAAAATATTAGGTACAGAACATTCAATCCGATCATACATTTAGCACATTTCCAATAATCCAATAGTAATATTACATATATATTTTATGGCATTATTGCTGCAATGTTATAGAACAATATTTCTGAAAACGGACATTTTACCGTTGCTGCAACCTTACAGCAAGATTGTTGCAACATTTCACAATGTTTATGCAATGTTGTAATATTGCAATAAAATGTTGCTACAATGCTGCTACAATCTTGTTGTGCTGTATAAGTCACTCGATGGATAAATAGAAAAGTGCTTCACTCTCGCATATATTTAAATTAATACGCCCTTTCTGCGCGGCAAGTAACAATCCTGAAAAATCTTTCAAACGCGCTGAATCGACGTGTGTCTCGACAGTCTCAAATGTTACTGTTGACCGACGCTTCGCTGCCCAAAATTCGTTCTTTTATTTCCTCCGGCTTGCCGAATACAGGCTCGATCGTCTCCGACAACAGCTTCGAATTATGCTTATCGATGTGCGTTAACTCGATCGGGAGGTATATCGTCCGGCAATAGTCAATATCGGCCCGGCATAATGGACAACGTTCGCAGCGACGAGCGCAATCCAAACAAGCCACAGCGTGTCCGCAGGGAAACAAGGCGGTGTCTAGGCTTCGATCCATGCAGATTCGGCACAGCATAGCGTCCAGTAATCTCGCTAGACATTCCCGAGATTCCTGAAATTTCACCCAACATTATATACAAATTGTCCCTTGGATTATATCCTATATTAACCATTCGCGATAACGATAATCTCTTGCGATTATCAGAAGGGACGGTTGAATTTATCGCTCACCTTGCACTTGGGATTCTCGCATTCGCCACAGGCTTGGTTCTCGAGAATCTCATTCTCTGGCAAAGCTATGGTCGCAGCCTCGCAATAAAGCGCACGCCGTGCATTGTCATAAACCTCCCGACAAGTCCTACGTATATCGAACACGTACTTCTTGCCCAGAGTCGAGTCTTCATTGAAAATGGAAATTATTGTCCCCTGAAGAAAACAATGACAATTATATATCGCAGTTTGGCAACAAGTTTTTAAATATATGGATACCTGTTCATAAAACTCTACGATAACAATGAAAAAAGATGTAGTATTACGTTTCAGAAGAAAAACTAAGTATATCTTATACACGCCCGCGTTATTCAAAGATTTTTTTTTATTAGCATATATCGAGATATACAAAAGATATAATAAAAGAAGATACATTGGTATTTTTGCCAAAAAAATAACATATAGGTCGTCAATCTGTATAGACAAAATTTGCATCGGGGATACCTTTAAATCACGGATAAATTGCGCGGTGACTGCGCTTCTAACTGTTTCGCAGCTGTAAAACGCGTGTTTCTCGGTGATTGCTCTATAAAGTCCACTGGCAGACTGACTCGAGTCTAATTTAAAGTCCAACGATGTCTCTTCACCATCGAGCGAGAGGTATACCAAGTGAAACATTCGCCGTTGTGATGTAGCACTTTGTATAGCTGTGTACGGTATACTGTAATGCAATAATATATAATATAACAAATTGAATCGTGCGGTAAAAAATAAAAGTTTTTATAAAATTTTTTTTATATTTTTTAAAAATTAAATTAAAAAAATTTTTAATCTCCTACATAATATCTGAAGCAAAAATTTGAAAAAATTTACGATATTACACATAACTATTATTACACGTAAATATTTTCAATACATTATTTTTACGCCTTTATAGATAGATTCTACAACTTTATTATTTTATATTAAACGCGAATTGTGATAATGACAGTTGATCTGTTGAATAATCATCTCGACGGATGGTACAGAATGTAAAGCCGATACGTACTGTCTCCTATCGTCAATAAATGATATTAACATTATTCTTTCATTATTTTGCATTAATAAATACAAAGTTTAGCAACGCAATATTAGTTGAATTGGTTAATCAATACATAAAAGTCTAATAGCGCAGCTCAATTTGATGCTTCTTACG